GCTCGTGCGAGCTGAGTGCGGACGCGTTCTGTCGTAACGAGAGTCGGTTCCGGCCGAAGGGGTGCCTAACGCGATCAGGGGCCTGGCGACGGTCGAGGGCCGCGCGCGTGGGGTGTGGTCGCCTAAGTTTGTTTACCGATGAGAGATAGACGCGTTCACCCAACGACAGAAGATCACCGCGTCGATCAATGCCGACCCTACCTACCCCGAACACCATCTGCGTTAAGCCGGAGCGCGGCATGTAGAGTAGTGCGGCGAGCGCAATGTGTTAACCGGACGGTTACGGCTGCAGTATCGGCCACGTTATCATTGAGAAGGATGGAGATTGTTTCTACCCGCGATTTAGGCGGGCCAGCGTGTATTAGTTTGGATATGCCTGCCTGGGACCAACCGTTCTTGTCAAGGCACGAAGCGGGAAGTGTAAATGCCTTCAGTAACAATTGGCAGAAGATCGCAGTGTTCTGCGGCTGATTGTCTGCGGCCAGGCGAAAAAATGCATGTGCTCATGCACAAGGAAACAAAAATAAAAGTGAGTGAAATATTGGGAATATCAGGACGGATATTTACGGGCTTACGGAAAGCTCTCGAAGTTGCAATTTTGGGTCGGTGTGCTTCACCCTTCCACACTCCACTTTTTATGCTTATCCACTTTATTATGTAAAGCGGGATAACCCCCCGCTGCCAACCATCCTCAACCAACCCGACACCATCCCTCCAACCCCAACAACCAAATAAAGAAACAAATAACAAACAGGGACCCGTCCGCCAAAAACAACCCGGCACACATGCAGGAACAGTAATGATAACACGGGCGTCACCGACGAGCGAGAAAGGACAAGAGCGTTTGCGGGCGAAAGAGAAGCCATGGATTTGTTCTTTACTCCTTGACCTTCTTCGAACCCCGGAGCAGACCGGTCCTCCTCGCGGCGATGAGACCGACCTTCTGACCCGCGGGCGCGTACCTCGACACGGTGGAGGCGTGACCGATGTGCTGGTGGTTACCACCACCGTGCGGGTGGTCGACGGGGTTCATGGCCACACCACGCGTCTTGGGCCAGCAGTTCCTCTTGACCCTGTACTTGTGGTGGGCGGCACCGGCCTTCAGGAGGGGCTTGTCGATACGCCCACCGCCGGCGACGATGCCGACGGTCGCACGGCAGTCGGACGAGAGGAGCTTCTTCGCGCCCGAGGGGAGCTTGATGCGCGTCTTGTTGTCGTCGGGGTTGTGGCCGATGATGGTGGCGTAGTTGCCGGAGACGCGCGCGAGGGAGCCGCGGTCGCCGATGCGGGACTCGACGTTGTTGATGATCGTACCCTCGGGCATGGAGCCGACGGGGAGGACGTTGCCGACGGCCAAAGTGGCTATTGAAAAAAAATAACCAACCAATAACGGTCAGCCCCCAAGTCCATCCTTTCCTTCCAGAAAACAGGAGGATTCAACGCACCCTTCTTCCCGGCGTACACGAACTGTCCCGTGAACAGACCCTCCGTGGCGATGAACGTCTCCTCCCTCTGCTTGAAGCGGTAAGGGTCCCTGAAGACGACCTTGGCCAAGGGCGCGCCGCGGCCAGCGTCGTGGACGATCTCCCGAACAATGCCGCGGATGTAGCCGTGGCGCTCGGCGAAGTCGAGGGCGCGGTACCGGGCGGCGCCCTGGCGCTTCTTGACGTGGGCCTTGAAGATGCCGCCAGCACCCTTACGCTGAGCACGGATGACACGACCCATTTCCTGCAGAGAGAAAGAAGCCGGCGATCAGTCACACGCCCTTTCGCGATTCCGCAAGGGAAGTGGTCGTCCCAGATGCAACGGTCCCTGGGCGGCGGGTCCACCTCCACAACCCTCGACATCTCCACCGCGACTCAAGTCCTCCTTTCTGCAATCATCAGCCCATTGCTTAAGAAGCCGTCCACCACGTCCCACGCCTGCCCCCGCCGTCCAGATCCTCGGCTGCCGCTGTTCGCGCGGTCACTCACTCAGGACTTAGTTGAAAAAGACGGAACGGGTATCAAGGCAAAAAACCAAGAGCACAGGACGTGGCGCAGTTTGGCCCTTAGCATACCCTCTCTCTTCTTTGTGATAAAATCACCGAATCTTCCGCCTCGTAGTAGGAAATAGCTGCCTGTTGCTACCATTTTGTGAATATACCATTCGCGCTTCTTTTCTTTCATCAATTCATTAGCATATGTTACGCCGTCAACAATTCAACACACATCGCTAAAGCCCAGAGCAAGTGTTGATAATAACAGCATAACGTTAATCGAATTGTGAGCCAGCAACTTCAACGAAGCCAACACGGCTGTGCTCGCAGCTGTAGTCCCTGAGAATAGCGCGACCCTCATGATGCTCTCATGCTGACACTTCCTCTAAACTGTTTACGCCTCAACTGTTTACGCCTCATTGACTATGAGGCTTTTACATTCCACATGCTTCTGCAACAACAAGTTGTTTCATGAGAGAAGATCCATTGTATTATAGATCGTAGAGATGCGATATACTACAAGTGCAATAGACTGTGTGCATAAGACTTAAAAAAACTAGGTGGAGTACCAAACCAAATTAAGAATCTATGAGCGCCGATGATGAACAATTGTTCCGTAACTTAATAATCAAGCCAAAATTCCCTTGACCCAAGGATGCGCCACCACCTCCTCCATCGTCGCCCTCTTCTTGGCATCGACGGCCGTCATCTTTCTCAACAGATCCAAACCCTCCTTATCCAAATCGCCCCTCAACTGCCCCAGCGGGTACATCCCACCACTGGCGACCTTCAACGGCTTCCCCTCCCTGACAGTCTCGTGCACGGCGGCGGGGAGACAACCGGGACCGTGAAGCAGGCTGTACAGCACCAACCCGGCCGCGAAGACGTCCGCCGGGAACGGGTCGGCCGTCTCGACGTAACCCCTGGCGCCGTTCCTCGAGGCGAGGTTGACCAGCAGCTCGGGCGGCGTCATCTCCTGGGTGCCGTACTTCCTGATCCTCGCGAGCGCGTCCGGGTGCGCGATCGTGGGGGCGTCGGCGTGACCAAAGTCGGCCAGCTTCACCTCGGGCGCGTCAGCGCCGCCGTTCAGGGTCGAGATGAGGACATTCTCCTCCTTGATGTCGCCGTGGGCGACGCCGGCGGCGTGGAGGTGTCGGAGGGCGGAGGCGAGCTGGGCGAAGATGAGGCGGCAGGAGGCCAGGGGTGGGGGGTTGAGGGCGTAGGCGACGTGCGGGAGGTGGAAGTCGGCGCCGGTGGTGGTTGGGCGCTGGGATTGGATGAGGGACCAGGACCATAGGTCTGACGAGCCGACGGAGACGGGGATGTGCTCGGTTCGGCCGCGGCGCGGGTTAACAAAGTCGAGGGGCCGGCAGGCGTCGTCGTCTTCGGTATCGGTGAAAGGGATCGGGTGCGGGTTGACGCCGTGGAGCTCGGTGACGAGGTAGTGATTCCGATCGTCGGACCAGGAGTTGAGGTGCGAGAGGATGTTGGGGTGGGGGCACGACTGGGAGATGGCGTCGAGGATGGCGATCTCGTTGGGCAGGCCGCTGGGGTGTGATGATGAGGCGTTGGAGAAGGTCTTATAGATGATCTTCACGGCCACGGCCCTTCTCCGGTGAGAGTGATGGGAGTGGTCGATGGCCGAAAGAACGACGCCGTTGGAGCCGAAACCGACGATGGCCGTGACGGAGTAGTCGTCCATATGCCGGCAGTTGCGTAGCGCGTGTCGGACGGCAGCGCGGGCGCGGCGCTCATTCGGCTCAAGCTTGGCGTCGCGGGTGACCTCATCGGAGGTGTCGAAGAAGGTCTCGGTCGCGGCCGACGCGGGCTGCTGCTGACGCTTGACGGCGAGGTGAGGAGGGGAAGGTGGGGGCGTCGGGGAGCGTTTAGGGCCGTGGTGGTGCTCGTGAGGATGCGCGGGGTCGAACAAGGTGGAAGCCGAGGAAAGGTGGGACGACACTGACGACATCGAGGACGCCGAGGCCGACCTCTGATAGGAGGGCGGGGGCGATAGCAGGGACGAGGACGGCATGGCAGCGTGTTGGTCGATGGTGGGATGGGTTGGTGGTTGGGGCGTCTGCGGGAGTCTTAAAGGGTGGGGATGGGATGGCGGGGGCGGACGCGGGCTGCAATTGCGGGCTGGGGAGCGGAGCTCGGGCCAGTAATCCAGTCTTAATTTCTTGGTCGCATCTTTGAGGGGAATCCGCAGCCTCTTATCACACGCGCACGGGTAAAGGCACGCTGAGAAAAGCCGTGTGAATGTCGTGTGGATCGCATCGCATCGGCTCTGCCAGCAACCTTAGAAATGGAGAAACTCAATTCTCATGGAGGAATAGCGGGGAAGGGGAGCGGATAAACTGCGGCTGGCTGAGAATGAAAACACCGGCGAAAGGCGGGACTCCGCCATGATCTCCGGCCTGCTGTGCCGAGCGAGCCCGACTGACTTTCACATTTCTCAAATCGTGACGCCATCTTCCACGTCAATAAACTCGCTGACGTGGAATCGTGGGCCACGGCTTTTAAACCTTACAGGCGCCAAGGCCCAATCGGCGATGTTGTTTCTACGTGGCCAGCACCTGCTATCCTGGATAACAACTGCCATGCCATATGCATGACACAACTCTACGTAATTCTTGCTGGTATGGTGGCTCACTGACCACCAATGTCATCTGGTCTTATATGGTTTTCCCGATCGGTGCTTACCCCGTTTATCCACTCTGTGTTTGTTCCATATTTGTTGATGACGCGCAGGCCCTTCATTTTTTTTTTATCATGTGGCAAGATTATAATATAAGCTCATCGTCGGTCCAGGGAATGGATTTGCTAGGCGAGGCTCGATGATGATTATTCAAATATGAAGAAAATATTCTTATCATGAATACATCCCCACTGTCATGCAGGCAATGCGCGCCAGCGGACGCCCTCCATTACTCTTAACCAGTCATCAGCGCTGCATATCGCGTTTGGCCCGACCCAAACGCTCTTAGTACATAACGGCAAATTTGTTCGAAAAAGACATCTCCCCTCGGTAGCTCACCTGGTAGAGCATCTGACTGTAAGCGAGCATTGTAATCAGGAGGTAGCCTGTTCGATCCAGGCCCGAGGGACAGTTTTTTTTTAAATTCTTTTTTTTTTTTGTAAGACAAAGCACGTAGTGTGTTTATTTCGGCCAACAAAGGCGTGCACAATGCTTTTGCATTTTACGACAACAATGCCGGTAATTAATGCGTTTATTTGCTTGCAAGTTACAGTATCACCACATGTCCAAAGTCAGGCGACGCCCCTCGCCCAGAATAAATGCGGCGGCATCACGTACCTCTGAAAGAAGTTTGCCCCGTCAAACACGTCCTCCCTCATGCCGTCATACCGTCTGCACGCGACGCAGATCCCACAATGGCACCCACCCGTGGGCCCGAGATGCAACGCCGCGCACGCGGGCGAGCACAAGACGTTCCGGATGCTCACGACGCCCTCGGAAGCGACCCTCTCCAGATATCCTGGGCATGCGGGCAGGATGAAGCGGCCACCGTCAACAATCAGGTCCTCGACGACTTCGATAGCGCGGCCCCGTGCCTGCTCAAGAAGTTCTTTCCTGCGGCTACCCCCCGAGTCGGGCGGTAGGAGGTCCTCCGGAGAGCGCGCTGGCGCCTGCGTCGGATCCTCCGGGTCGAACGTGACCACACGGCCGCAGCATAGGCAGTTCACCGCGCTGCCTAGGCGCCTCCAGAGCGCGGCGGGGAGGACGGGGCCGTCTGACTCCTCATCTTCTGCATCGCCACCCTCTTTATTCAGCGCCATCGCATCCATGTCCTGATCCACATCCTCCGCTCCACCGACACGACACCCGCCCTTCACCAACACCTCCATCCCGATCTCCACCAAGCTCCTCACCCTCGCTTTCCCCTCCAAAACCGTCGCTCCATCTCTCCCACAGAACCATCTCCTCCATACTCCAGCGTTGACGACCGCACCACCCACCCCCTGGAACGGATTCCCGCCCAGATCCAGCCTGTCAAGCGTCAACCCCAGCACGCCCACGGGCAACGCCGTCAACGCGTTCCCCCGCAACGACAGATGCCTCACGCCCGCACACCAGGTCGGCATCAGATCCGGCAGCGCCGTGAGACCGCAGTGCGACAGATCGAGGCATCGGATCGCGAGCGGGGGCGGCAGGGGCGGCGGCGCGTACGTCCGCAGCAGGGCATCGACGTCCGGTAAGGACTCGAGGTGGATGCGGGCGAGGCCGAGGCGGTCGTGCGGGGTCTTCAGGATTGCGCGCTCAAGGCGAAGCGCGACGGCTGGATCAACCGGGGCGTGTGAGGATGGGTCGGTGGATGCGGGTGAGGGTGCGGGTGCGGGCACGCGGCGGAGGAGGGTCGTGAAGGCGCGGGCGTCGGTGGACGACAGATCGCGTCGTGCTTGCTTGGACATCTGGGCATTTTCGTCACTTAGCATCATATCATGGCTAATGCAGCGAATGTAAATGCTTTCTTTAATACCTCAGGTGCCCGCTCCACCGCGTCTCTGACAGCCTCCCTCGCCCTCCCCAGCACACCCCTCCAACTAACAGGCAACCCCCCGCTCTCGATCCTCTCCATGTCCCTCAGCGCCGCGAGACACGTGCTCCAGGATCGCTCGGCTAGTGCGCGGTACAGCGCGTCGTGGTGCGCGACGAAGGGGGCGTGGCGCTGCCGCGGGAGCGCGGATCGGGATGCGGCGGGAGGGGCATCGGTGGCGCAGGTGCAGAGGGATGGGGTGGAAGGACGGGATGATGATGATGATGATGATGAGGAGGCCGTGGAGTCTGTGTCGGAGGAGGACGAGTCGCGGGCGGTGTCATTGAAGAAGCGGGTCATTGAACGATGGCGATGATGGTGACAAATCTTGGGGGGCTCCGCACGACGGGACTATAGAGCCGCGCAGATGCGTGCCGACGCGGGCCAGCATCACGGTGCACCAGGATGATGACGGGATTCACCTCAGCCCCCGTAACTTGAGAGTTGGCAGCGGACCTCTCGGTACAGGAGGGCTATTATGTGGCGGGGTTAATCCTTGCCTGCCACGATTCTCTCGCGGCCCCAAGATCTTTCTCGCTGGTCTCCGTCGGACATTGGATCGCAGAGACCGTTAAGAACAGTGTGTCGAAGTTAACATATAATAACTTACTGAATTCTGTGATTGAATCATGCAGTATTATGCTTGCGTTTAGCAAACTGTGGAGCTGGGATTGAAGGGTAAGAAGATCTTATTCAAATACATATACACCAAGCATCGCATAATAAACCGCACGCACCTGGGATTGAAGGGTAAGAAGATACCCTCAATCCCAGGGGGTCCTCCGTGGTTTTATGCCGTCTCGGGGTTTGAAATATTTCCAGCCACGTCGTACTAAGACACCAAAGTATCTACTAGAAATAAAAGATGTTCGTCCTTTCCATGTTAACACAAACAGTCAGAAATATCTCACCAGCTGCTTTCCAGCATTTCATGATCCAGTAGAACGCAGCGGGAACTCGTGTCATTGTGTCGGCAAAATCGACGACGTACACAGAGAAAGGAATGTGCACGGAAAAAAATTGAATGCAATTGATATGTACGAGTAATAGTACTTGAGAAGCGCTCCGTTTAAACGACAAAAAAGGTCTAAGAAGAGGTGGAGCATAGCACCTCTAAAAAGAGGTGGAGCATAGCAAACTTTATGTACTGCCGTCGCCGTGAACCAATAAAAAGTAATGGGCACATAAAGACTAAAAGAAAAGGCAAGGTGAATACCACTTCTCAGTTCAGCGCGACCGAAAAATGTAAAAGAGAAAAGTGTACGCGGAAAGAATGAAGAACATGCGACTGCTATTGACAATATATGCAAAGTGTGAATGATATAAGTGCACCAGGCCAGCAGGCGCTTATCTATAAAATTGGAAGAGAATAAGAAAGCTCCTAGCTGCGCTCATCTAGTTGTTTGAGTCATGGACGTTCCACACCAGCCGGCTCCGCAAGGCGACGCGTTGTCACAGCTAACCGAAGGGCGAACACGACAAGAGCAATGTTGTTCAAAATCCTTAAACCGGTCGTTAGGATCTTACATAAGCGCCGGATATCAGAAAAAAGCTCACCCAAATTGTAAGAACACCTGCAAAAAAATGAACCACGACTGCGTCCCGAAGAACTTGAGCGCCAGCGCAAAGAGCACGTCGAATAGTAGGAACGCGACAATACCCGCGGCCGACAGCGTCATCGCCCTAATGGCCATCTTAAGCCCCGCCTCTAGCTCCACGATCGACCTCCCTAAAGCGGTAGCCTCCGTCAGCGACGCGTCTCCCCTATCCAACACTATGACCGCCTCCTCCCCTCGTCTCCATTGTACCATCCCGTCCACACCGCGACCGCCACCGCGAGTTGACCACCGGGACCTCCTCCTTATCCTCATCCCACCACCCGCTTCAACCTGTGGCACCACGATCTCGCTCAGGAACCTCACAAACAACCACCGCGCGACCAGCAGAAACCCTAACAACAACACAAAGCTTCCCTGCCACTCCAACTCGGCCACCGCGTTGATGGACGCGCTCGCGGAAAACAAGCCCTGATCCGCGAAGAGGCCCGAGAGCGTAGAGAAGACGATGGCGAACGGCAGCACCAGGAGGAGAAGCAGGAGGACGTATCGCAGGCCGTCGATCCGGCGCGCGCTTGCCGGGTTTGAGACGAGGATGGAGTCGACGTAGAGCATGACGGAGATGAAGACGGCGGCGCGGCGGAGGGATTGGAGCGAGCTGCACGGCCCTCCCAGTAAGTCGGCTGCTATCAAATGTGCAAAACTTACCTGAAGACCACTCCCGACGTGCCCATGAACGCGCTCAACGACAATGCGAGCGCGCTTGCGATGCAGCCGACGATGACGAGACACCCGCAGCCCTCGAGCCTCGTGAGGCGGACGTCGACGTCGGGCGCGGACGATCGGCTTCGGCGGCGGATCATGAGGAGGACGTCGAGGACGCCGAGGAAGACGGGGGGCCACGCGATCAGGGCCAGGGCTTTGGCATAGGGATTCAGGCCGGGAGTTGAGCAGACGTTGAGTTGGGCCTTCGGCGAGGTAAGGATTGGGATATGATGATACGGACGGACTCACGGGATTACAACCGGGCAAGGATTCTGTCGCGCTCATCGCAGAGCCGCGGCCGAGGACGATGGAGGGGGAGAGAATCTCGACGAAGTCTTCGGGTTCATCAGCGTCATCAGCCTTACATCGACAGGATGTGAGGTAAACGAGCTTGTTAGGAAAGACTCATTGCCGCATCCTCAGCTCCTATTCGTTAGTTCGGCTTTCCGGGTTTTCGGTCTTCGGCGTTCAGAACCAGGGCTGACAGCCATGTCCGAGCCAAGCGCACCCAGCGGCCCAGCAGATGAAGGCCTGCCCTGACGAAAGGGGTGCTTGATCGCGGCCCTGGGCGTTCTTTCGAGCCGTGTTCGGCTACTCTGATCGGGTGCAGGACGCTTGGGGGAAAGGGCGGGGTGCTTGATCGCCAACTTGATCCCCCACCCCTCTGAGCGTGGCGGGGGGCTAGGGTGAGAGACCAGGGTCCGCCCTAGCGATCATATTAGGTCCAATCCCCAGCTTGCGGGCCCCTCGGTACGGTCGGCGCCCTTAAATGGCCGTCTGAACCCCCTCCACCTCCACTGTCCATCCACACTCACCCCCTAACAAACTCGCAACGATGGCCGAAGTTACCCTCTCCGCATCCGTGACCGCAACCCTGACCGCATCCGCAACCACGTCCGCCATCGCGTGCGCGACCACCTTCCCTTACTCCGCTGCGGCCGACACCATCTTCTCGTTCACGGTCGCCGACGCGGCTCGCATCCAGACGGCCAACGGGCAGCTCAGGCGCCGTGGGGGCGGCTACGCCACCGTCGACGGCACCGTTTACGTGGCCGATTACACCAACATCCCCTCAAAGCCGACCGTCACCATGACCCTCGACAGCTCCTACACTGGATTGCACTACGTGAGCGACTCGTTTCTTCTCACTAGCAATTTGGTTGATGAACGCTCTTGTTATTTGCTAACCTTCCTTCATTCAACAGAGGTACCGCTACCAGAGCGCCAACG